AAGCAATCCTTAAATTTACCTTTATTTCAGTATATTCTCCTTGTGTTTAGAATCACACAGATCCTTCAAGGATCAAATAGTACTGTTCTCAAGGATCCTTTTTCTGTCTTGTTTTTCTGAATAATCACTGCATTTATTTTTTGTGCCCTCTAGGTACTAGTCACATTTTGTCACAGAATACTACAGTTCTGTGCATATATTTTACATACTGTAAGGACTCTATAAAGTTTATGGGCAGGGATATCTTACTTACATAGCCTATACTTTCTTGTTTTTTTCCCCATACTTTCTTATAACATGTGGCACCAAAATGACAATAGCCAAATGCTTTTTATTTGAACGATGGATATCCTGAAAGAAGATGGACTTTTGTCTTTAAGAAGGCAGATCAAAGGTTTAAGTGGTATAGAATTCATATAAGGAATACTATACTGCTGCTAAAATTAATGGAGTACAGCTATAAGAATCAATATACTTGATTAAAGCAATTTGGAGCATGCATTTTATATCCCATTATTACGAAGATTAAATGCATGTAAAATAGTATGTAAYATTTATGGGGAAGTACATATTTAGTAAGAGTAGTAAAACATCCATCAGATTAACAAGCACAAAATTAATGATAATGATTCCTTTTGTTGGGAGTAGGAATTAAAATCAGTGAGGGATACACCAGGATTTAAAATACAATGAAAGATTTAACAGCTTTAAAAATGTTAAAGAATGTGACAAAACATTAAGATTAAAAAAAAAAACACTGAGGGGAATAGTTCATATAAATATATTTTTATATAAATTTTTTACTACCCTAACATACATACAAAAAAGCAATTTAAATAACCACTTGTCAGGAGAAAGACATGCTTTGGAATAAGGCTGACCTAATTATGAATACTGGCTGGGCCAATAACAACTATATAACCTTGCCTTCAGAAAATTATTTAACCTAAGCAAAATAATCTCATGCAGAATATGTAACAATACACAAGAGGATGTTTGTTTCAAGGTAAGTGACATAATGTATAAAAAACTTTTAGAATCCAAAAAAAATGTACTGAACATAGACTAGCTATTAGCTACATGTGACTACTAAGCATTTGAAATGTGGCTCTTCTAATACAGGTGTGCTATAAAATAAAAAACACATACTGGATTCAAAAGAATGTAAAAAGAATGTTAAATATCTCATTAATAGTTCTTAATATTATTGCATGTTACAATAATATTTTTGATACACTGGGTTTAAACTCTTAAAATGATAGAATTATGATGGTGCAACACAACTTTTTGACTACCATAGTACACTTTGAATTTTACATAGTGTACTTTAAATTTTGGTCTTTCCCTGAGCTGTGGATGTGGAGTAAGATATTCTCTCCAGATGCTGGGTAACAGCTGTGAGCTACAGTTCATAGTCAGTCATGACATTACAAAGATAAACTACTGACATCCTACAGGGTACTGTATTGCTAAGCTATAATGTTCGGCAACTTAGGTGTATAAAATGCATTTTCAACATAAAGATATTTTCAACTTACAATTAGTTTGTCAGGCCATAACCCCACTGCAGGTCTAGGAACCTGGGCTTCTATAATTTTACCTTTGTCTTTTTACTTTTTTTTAACGTGGCTCTGAAATATTTAACTCTGTATATGGCTCCTACTAGCCATATATTGGTCTACTATTAGCATTAGTCTACTAGATGATTAGCACACTATTTGAACTTATTCTTACCTCATACCATATAAACCTTGGATTGTGAAAATCAAACAAAATTAAATGATTTTATTACCTCAGTGGTATATGCAATATTAAAACTATGATTTTGATGTAAAAGTACCCACCAGAAGTTTTTGTTTTTCCATCATCAGTACCAAGAGCTAGCGATTCCATCATTTCAGCTCTTCTTCTATGAAATTCAGATGGAAGCATCCTACCCTTATTTACTTCAATCTCCATATTTCGTAATTGCTGTTGTTTGTATCCTCCAGAATTATCTAAACCGTATTGTCGCTATTAAACATAAAAACAAAGGGCATAATTTTTATGTTCCTGTACATTAATGAGATGGAAACTTGTCAGTTTTATTTATTTGGAAATATATATCAAAACATTCTGGTTTACAGGTTTTTACATAAATCAACTTAAAGATTTTTATGAGAACTATATATCATGTTACATAGTAGTTATATAAGAAACCTCCATAAATACTGGAAGTTTTTTGTACTAATAATGTTGAAAAGGCATTTTGCATTTTATATTATCCCCAAAAGACTTAGGAAAAGCCATTTTCTTTCCTCCTCCAAATCCTGGTGGGAAAATGTTTTGTGAATAAATGAATCACTAGTAGAAACAAAATCTGAAATTAGATTTTTCCAAAGCACAATTCATGGAAAAATAGCCATGCATGAGATATTGCAGAAAAAAGACAAGAGGTCAACAAATCTGGGAAAATGATATTTATAATGCATACTGGTATATTAAAGGCTTTAAGAGGTGTAGTCAAACTAGTTTAATTGAATACTTTCAAAACTATTTGATTATAAACACTTATTATTTATACATTATTCTATAATACACAGGAAAAAAAACTCTGTGAGCATTATTAGCCCAAATAAAACTATGGTTCACAAATTAGAAATTAAAAAAAACTATGAAAAATATAAATCCATTAAAAATGTAACAGTCTAGCTCAACAAATGTTAAATTCACCTAAGGTAAACAGTTTCAATATCATTAAACTGCACTTTGTATTACAAATGGTTCTTTCTAAATGCCTAAAATTGCAACCTATAAAAAAAAATCTAGAACTCAAGAGGCATTTTTTCTAAGTTACCATTCATGTCTAAGTATTTATATAAGTATTTAAATTCTAAGTCTCAAGTCTCATAATTTCTCTATTGACCTACACAGGTTTGAATCAAGACTTTACCTCCTAATAACTGTCTAACTCTGGGCAAATTACTCAATCACTCTATTTCCATTTTTTTTTTAATCTGGAAAGAAAATTGTGGTACTGAGAATTGAATCCAGTGCCTCCCACATGCTGGGCAAGCACTCTACCACTGAGCCACAATCCCAGCCCAAAAAATGTTTTTAATAAGGACAAAAATAATAGAATGAAGTGTTGAAAGCATATTTTAGAAATAAGAACTCTACCAAACCAAAATATTATAATTGTTATTAATCTTTGCACCTGCAGTCTCTGAAATTCTTCCATTTCTTGTCTTGATTCTTCAGATCTCCTCTTACTGTCTTCTTCTCGTTGAAGTTGGTGAGCCAATTCTAGATCACCAGAACACTGGACTCTATCCATGCCTATTAGATATTTAGTAAAATAATGTTAAGAATAAAATAACTGGCAGCTCGGAAGGCTGTGGCAGGAGGATTACGAGTTCAAAGCTAGCCTCAGCAAAAGTGAGGAACTAAGCAACTCAGTGAGACAGGGTCTCACTATATTAAAATACAATACAGGGCTGAGGATGTGGCTCAGTGGTCAATTGCCCTTGAGTTCAATCTCCAGTACTCCCCCCAAAAATAAAAATAAATAATAAATTGCCAAAATCAAAGCTTACTATCAATTAAATATTTTTTAAAAAGTTACTGATATTGTTTATCATTTATTCATGACTGTGATATTGAACCATGGAGTACAATTCTGGCAGAACTCAGAACTGCTTTTGCTAAGGAAATAACCTCTATTTCATCAATATCTAATACTCATTGACTATTTAAGCTGTAACAGGTGTTTTTCATTATCTTTATGACAACCTTATGAAGTAGGTTATTATCTACTGAGGAAACCAAAATTTGAAGAAGTAATACTCTTGATTAATGCTCCTTAACATAAATAAGGCAGATTGATTTTTCAAAGAAATAGTAAGGATAGGGASAGAGGCAGTAATAAAGAGCATAAAAATTTACATTTTCAAAGTGTAAGTGCTAAATAATAACTTACAGTTTGGCCTCAAACAAATTATATAACTTTTCAACATCTTGCCCTGCCTTCCTCTCTCCTAGTTTCCTTCAGATGCCTTGGAGCCAGTACCTTGTCACCCTGACCCATGTTTTTAGTCAGGGTTCTTGAGAGAAATGTAACTGAGAGGGGAGGGAGGGAAAGGGAGACAGACAGAATGAGAATATGTATGTGTACGTGTACATGAAGGGATTGATTACAGGATTAATTCATATGATCACAGAAACTGAAAAGTTCCACAATAGTCTGTAATCTGGAAAACTAGAAAATCCAGTAGTGTGGTTCAGTCTAAGAAGCCAAGAGGCCACCTGTTATGGTTCAGATCTGAAATGTCCTCCAAAGGCCATGGGCTAAAGACTTGGTAATATTAGTTRTGATATTTGGAGGTAGAGCATGTCCCAGTTGGAACAGTAAGGAGGTCAATGGAGGGGGGGCTTTGAAGGGTATGTTTTTGTCTCTGGCCCTTCCTTTCATGCTTTCTTTCTTTCCACTTCCTGGCAGCCAGGAGGTGAGCAGTTCTGCTTTACCTTGTGCTCCCCACTATGATGTTCTGCCTCATCTGAACAATAAAGCCAAGTGACCATAAACTGGAACATCTAACACTGAGCCAAAATAAATCTTTCCTCCTTTAAGTTGACTTTATTAGGTATTTTGTCACAGTGACGGAAAGCCAAGTAACCCACCATCAAACCTGGGAGACTAAGGGTGCAAGGTCAAGTTCAAGGCCAAAGGCTCAAGAACTCTAGAAAGGCCACTGGTGCAAATCTGAAATATGATGAACAGGGCAGCAGATGGACAACTGGCTCCAATGAAGAAGAAAAAGGCAGAAAATTCCCCTTCTTCAGCTTTCCTGGTCCATCCAGGCCCATGGTCAATTGGATGGTGCTTGCCCACTTAGAAGGCAGGTGTTCCCCACTCAATTCATTGACACATGCCGATCTCCTCTGGAAATATTCTCACAGACACACCAGAAGAAATGCTTCACCACTTGTCTGTGCATTCCTCAATCCAGATAAGTTACCATCTCCCAACTCGATGGTTTAATTATGTAGCTGAAAAATTCTTTCTTTTCAAACCTCTCAGCCACTGCTATATCTTCCTATTTGGTTCCTCTTTCCATTCTTGGAATATGCACTTGGTGATTAATTTTTAGTCTACCTTAACAAAAGATAAAGTGATTTGCTTGAATCATATCTTTATTTTATTACCCACAACAGGCTTACATAATATACATAATCATAGAAAGCCTATCATAAACTCAATAAGAATTACCAGATAGTCAACTTCAAAAGGGTATTTTTTTCCCAGTATTCCCTTACAATCTTGTCAAAGGGAATATAGATCACCAACTGAAATGAGTGGTACAGAACCATCAGGATAGAAGACTATTCTATCTGTACTCAACTAACTTGCACCTGGGGGCTGGGCTGACTGAACAGATTTTGCTGTGCATGGAAATCATTGATTCTGGTACTAGGCTCATGATACTGGTTACTAAGAAATCTTCCCATTACTGGGAATTATCTATAATCCTTTAGAAACAGAAACAGAGTAGAATACAATTGATTTCTTCCAGGGTCTACTTTATGTTTTCCTTCAGCAGGTTTGAGAAACTTATATAAGATACCTTCATGTCTAAGGCACCATAATAATTACTTAATGTCACAATTAAAATTGACAGAGAACAGAAGAAAACTTTTATAGAGTCATTATTAACCACTAAATAATTTTAGAAGCTGGGGTGAGCAGCTGTAAATGTACTGAAAATGACTTTCAGGTTACGCAGTTCATAAACATGTTGAAAATTATTATGTGCCATGTGGCAGCTTCCTAGTTGACAATTTCTGGTGGCCAAATGCTAAGTTTATTACTTCTAGCTGATAAAAGAATGCCATCAACTTGTAAATGAAACACTTTCTAAATAACAAAGTTTAATATTCATTCTCTCAAATGTCTGCACCTTCTAAATATTATTGGCCCTGAGCAAAATCCAGGATGCACAATCCTAGTTTGGATGTTGGTCACCATGGTTCATTCACCCTTTACAACATTTTGTGACATATTTCTAAGGAAAAAGTTACAGATAGAAAAAATTATAATAAAGGAACAAATTTATTTTTAAATACTATGATTTCCCCTCACCCCATATAACTAATATGAAAATTAGATGTGTCCCAGGAGGCAAAAGTTAAATCAAGACATTTTTATTGTTAGCACATAAACATACCTTGTCGAATGCTGCTTTCTTCTAAATGCAGGTCAACATGTTCCTGGAGAATATCGTAATTTGTACAAATGAGCCCACACATAGGGCAGTCATAGATTGGCTGAACACAGTCTGTATGAGAGACATAATCCAGTTTCCTTTTTAAAACTTCAAGATTTTTCATTCCATGTTAAAGACTATATACCACTTACTAACCATATAAATAAAAGCACTTTGTGGTTAGGTTAAACATGTTTAAGTCTATTCCCTACTACTCTCATTGTATAAATAAAAACCATTTGTGATTGGATTTAAAAGTTATTTTTCCGCTCGCAGGGTCAAGATGAAGAACTGAGCATAGTACAAACCTTTTATCACTCTAAAAAAAAAAAGAAAAGAAAAGAAAAGAAAAATAGTAATTAGCTCTAAGATCTTTAGTCAAAAGAAGAAACACTGAAAGGAAAACCAAAGCTTAAAGTAGGGCCAGTCTAGACATGGAATTTGGGGATAAATTCTCAGCACCAAAAGGTAAGATGCTGAACTCAAGCATCCAGCAGAAGGCTGGAAAATGGGATCATACTGTCTACTTTGGAGGAGATTAAAGAAAAGGATCCACCTGACAGCACTGGAGATAGATAGGTCTAGCTTGCCCAGAAGAGATGTAGAAGAAGTACCTCTGTAAGACTCAGACCTAGAGTATAATGGGCACAAAAGAGGAGATGGATTTGTGTATATATAGAAAGAAATCACTAGGCAATCCATAAATATAAGGCCTGGTTTGAAAGTGGTGATTGTGAAATACCAAGGTGAAAGAACCATGAAGCTGCTTCATGGGGAGGGGATCACATGAGGGAAAACCCTCATTAAGTTGAATAATTAAATGTGAATTA